AGCCTCTTGCTTGTTATAGCACTTCGCAGGTACATTCTCTGTACCATTGCACTTGACCTCACCTCCTAGCAATAGTTATTCCTTAATTGGCGTGCTGTTTATATATTAGTATCAGAGCTTGATCGAGCTGTGTAATTTATGTTGTGTTCTTTTGTTGGATTTAATTTACACAGCCTCGAATGTTGTAAAACTGTTGTAATCTATGTTTTGCATTGCAGCATCTGCACAACAGTGCAGTCTTCTCCTGTCCTTAATTTCGACTTACTGTCTCCGTATCAAACCGTTAACAGCAGGTATAGTAGTCCTTATAATACGAAATCACAAAAATTATTACAGCCATAATTGGAGAGGAAAGGTCCACTATGATTCAAGTAGTCTGTCCAACTAACCAATGGAAGAACGTAGAGCAAAGACAAGAGTCTCTAGAACTAGAACAGCAATGTTCGAGCAAGCAACATGCAGCAAATCTAATACCATTCAGTACTAAAACATGAGCTCCATGATTGAGATTCACAAAATTAAAAGAAGGGTTATATTATAATTTCTTTATATTGTTTCCATCAAAAATAAGGTAGAGGAAAACTTTTACAATATGGTAGAACAACTAAAATATCAAGTACTCAAAATTTTGGCATTTCCATATGCAACTACAAATGGATACATACTTTTGTAGTGGTAATATTTACAAAAATTAGGAACCAAATTTACAAATCTTCATCATCCGAGGAGTTATCACATTCATCAACATCAATGGCAACTATTTTGGAAGCACTAACCCTAGTAGAACCATTTCTAAGCTTGAATGGCAACCTTACATTACTTGAAACAATACCATATCCTTCTTCCTCTTTCTTCAGGTCACCAGGAGGCAGGAAACAGTCCATGGACAACCCTTTTATGTTGAAATCCACTTCTTCAATCGTCCAAGCCTCTTCCATCCTTGTCCTGGAATGGCTCTCGGAGTTCTCTCCGAACCTGAACAATGAGACCCACGTCTTGCCAGCATGTGCAATGTTGATGCCATCTATGGTTTTATAGTCTTGAATCCAGGACTCCATCGTGGTTTCCCAGAAAATGCTGTCATTTCCGGGGGCTTTGATTCTTAAGAGATGGGAGTCTTCCAGTTGGACTAAGAGACCTGTTCTCTGACTGAAGTAGCCCCAAACCGTGTGCCGGATTATCTCAACGTTGCTGCTGCTCCTGGCTCGGAGTGTTGAGGGTTCAGCCTCTAGTTTCAGGATGAAACAATCCTCATCATTGATTGTTTTTTCACCCACACAAGAAGAGTTCGAGAACAGATTTGCTGTTGACCTTGGATCAAGACCCTGGGAAGTGGCAATGATCTTTGGGTGAGTAAATCTAATTCAAAGAGGAATCAAATGCAGATCATGTACGTG